TGTAGAATTGACGATATTTGAATAACATATTCTTGAAGTTAAGAATTAAAAGTATGAAAGATCATTTTCAACATATACATATATATATATATATATATCCATAGTTAAAGTCGCCTTTTTACCTTCATGGATGCATTTAAAATGTTTATGTTTAAGATGCTATTTTGTATTTCGAAACACTTGCCATTATTACAAGTAGTAGTCTCAAACACTTTCTGCGAATACTTCTTCAAGTTTACAAAAGGCCTTGAAAGCAATAGCTCGTCTTTTCTATCTTCAGCCTTTTTCGTTTGGGATTAAAGATATCGAAGTTGATATGCAAAAAAATTTTGATTCATCCTGATCTTTAATTACTCATTAGGACCGATTTATACTAGATAACGATTGGATAGTTTAAGTTACTAATTTCCATAAGCTCAATAGGCATTGTAGCTGAAATCAATAGGAGTTCAAAACTTAAACATAGAATTACAATTAATCGGTATAAGGGGATTAACCAAAAGTAGCAAAATTAACGAATAAATATAGTCTTTAATTTTTATTAAATGGGGTATAAAAGAGTCCTGGAGATAGCCAGTTCAAGGATGCCTTCCAAAGTGCCAACAAAGAGGAATTAAATAGAACAATAATTGCTAAATCCACTGAGTGAGTAATATTATCATCTGCACGTTTGACACAAAAAATACTAATTGTATTAATCTGTGCGAGAGACCAGATGTGTCACTCCGCCGCCGGAGATAAAATATAATCATGACAACAATTTTGATTATTTCTTTATACATTTTTAGACTGAGAACACATTATAAGTTACGTTAAAGTGTAATAAATATAACTTAAGAATGGTATGATCTTCAATCGTTATAAAAATCTGATTTGGTAGGGAGACACTTCCACTTACATTTCTAAGCCCAAGGCGAAATTTTACTGAGCTCTAATTAGATATCAAATTTATCAGAGATCCGCTGCGCACCTACCCAAAATAATTTATCTGATAAGTCAATATCAACAAGAAACCGAGACTGAATTCACTTAGAAGACATACGAGTTAGAACATAAAAGACTTCCCTAAAGTAGATGTTTTGCCACGAGATTCACCCGGTACACCTGCCAAACTAAGCTAAGACAGACCAAATTGTAAAGTTATTCATTAATCAAGCTTAAAAGGGGTCCCTGCTTGGTTGAGCTACCATATAGGTGGTATAGAACGTTCTAAATATGTAGTGCGAAATAACGCTCTAGATAGCAGAGATATTGTGGCAATTATCTAGCGAAATCATTGAATCGGCGAGAGAAGTGACGGAATGTTCAAGAAAAGAAGACTCTGTTAGTATACTTCGGCCTAGCTAGATAAACATTTACCGCTCAATAGTAAGATCGTGCGAAGAATCGAGGGGTGTAAATTGGTCTCATTATAACCACTTGAGATGACATACTTCATAAACATGTTAAAATAAATAATATGAGAGGTGTTCACCCTATTTCGTTTAAGGTGATGAAAGTAGTCTCGAAACTCTACTCAAATAATAAAATAAAGAAGTTAGAAGTTATGATAGTAAGAGCTGCGTCACAGGGATATGGTTTAGGTAAATGTATCAGGACAGAAAGAGAGATGCCTCCGCTATTCAAGATAAGGTTGGTCATGTAGTGGGTGTTACTCGTCTCTCTGATAAATTATAATTACATGCTTAGAATGAGAAGGTTCGCCGAGGCAGCTAAACACAATTCTGACAAAAATAGCCAAGTCCATTATCCAATGTTGAAAATTATTATAGCTACTCTTTTAGATGACTACAACTAAGTTTAATTCACCCCAGGTATTTCTGCTAATGCAAAAATGAAGTCAAACAACTTCTACGCAATCTTCTATACTTGTGAATTATTCCCTTTCAATTCCTACTAGGGCCTTAACATTTACGGAAGAAAGTATACTAAACGATTTCAAGTAAAGATTTTACTTTGTACCAGCTTTAGGTACATCATAATTCTTCAAACCTTGGAAGTTGGTACTATTCAGACAAATGCAACCATAATGTCTTTGTGAATAGTTCGCTACTCATGGGCACTATTCTTTCCAATTTACATGCATATGTATATACTATATTTTCACAAGGTCAAGCAAATAATTATTAAAATACAAGGGAATGAATACATTTTTCCGCTTTTACCTAAATGAATACTTCGCTATTATGTCTCAATATTATAATTTATTATTTGAGTGGAATAGCTCTTAAAATAACGAGTGGAAATTGCTTTCATAAAGTAACATGAAATGAATAAACTTGATAAAGAAGTTGCTTGACATTGCTTTCGCAACTTGGTCATATTGGCATGAAGAGCTAGAGGAATGTACTTTTCTGGAGTCCATAGTATGCATGACAATTTACAGAGTAGGAAAGGGGACTTGGTGCATTCCTAGACGTTTTTCCGGCATCATAATCAACATCATTAATTAGACTTGCCATACTTCTCATCACGCTACAACTCGTCAAAGAGACAAGTGAAGTCGATCCTTTTACTAATTGAAGAAGGCAGGATCAACGAAAATTCTGCACCCTGCCTAAGCAAACTCGGAGAAGATCTGGGAACAACAATATCGGCAAATAGAAGGCGACTGGACAAAGCTAATATTTTTTATGTTAGGAAAGTAAATTACAAGGAGATCAGGGGAACAATCTGAAACCAGAGGAATAGATATACAGTGGGCCTACTCAAAGCAAGTAGAACTATCAAATTTGCGAGTCGGCACTTAAGAGAAAGTCATAGACTTAGCACTTGGCATTAGGACTAGAAGAGCGAGAGAAACGGTGGCGACCATGTCTAGTTAGCTAGTAGTAGATAAGTTTATTCATAGATGTAGTCCATGAAGTAAAGGCTTAACCACGCTATTTACTCTGTGCGCATACCGCACAGTGATGAGGAAATCTGCAGCCTCAAGTTAGGTTGCCATGCTAATCGAGAATTCAGACTTCAGGAGCTTGCTCAGTGAAGCTTGTGTTTACGTGCTATCACCGGCTTGAGACAGAGTGTAGAAATAGCACGGATATGGTGGCAGCGATGGAGTAGACTCAAAGAACCAGGCAGATAATAGAGGGATCCTACGGAGCAAGAGGGGGACTCTGATAGTATAGTTGAATAGCCCAGGACAGAAGGAAAGATACCTCAACTGTTTAGTAGACCACCAATCAATAGATCGACTTCACTTGTAGCTTAGACGAGTTGTAGTGTGGTTCTAAGACTAGAATGTACCAAGTCCATGGTCCGACTGGAAATTATAATGCATACTATAGACTGCAGAAAAGATGTCTTCCTTTAGGTCTTTTTGAAAATATGGCCAAGTCGTTAAAGCAAGGTCAAAAAGTTTTATAATACGAAAGAAAATCATGACCATACAAAAGTCCACACAATCCTGGTAGCATTGATTAAACCTGATAAACTTTAACTTGGAAATGTTTGAGAATGTTTAATTTTAATTACACTTTATCTCATGGTTTAATATATTCATAAATATATCTAAAAAAAGATTAATTGCTATTTATTTTCTGTTAAAATTTATCTGAATTTTCATTCCTTATAAGTTAGTAGCATTCGTTTA